CTGAGAAGGAAGGAATACGGCCTAGTTCATTCTGTGAAGCAAACAAAACCCTGATACCCACACCAGACAAAACACCACAAGAAAACCTCTTAAGAATATAAATGGAAAAATCCTTGACAAAATACAAGCGAACAGAATCCAACAGCATAATGAAAGAGTCATACACCATGATCAAGTGGGATTTATCCCAGGGATGCAGATGCAGAGATGCTTCAGCATTAGAAAAGCAATCAACGTAATACACCACATCAATAGAGCAAAGGAAAGAAACTACATAATCATCTCTGGATACAGAAAAAGCATTTGATAAAATCCAACACCATTTCTTGAAAACCCTAACGAAGATTGGAATAGAAGAGAAATGCCTCAACGTGAGTCAGGGCATGGATGAAAAGCCAACAGCCAACATTATACTTAATGTAGAAAGACAGCTTTCTACATGCAAGTGAGAACAACACATATATGCCTGTTCTCACCACTTCTTTTCAATATTACAAGTCCTACCCAGAGCAATATGACGAGTAAAAAGAAAGAAAAGGTATCCAGATTGGAAAAGAAGTAGAATTATCTCTATTCATGGATGATACTATCCTATATATAGAAAATCTCAAAGAATACACAAGAAAACTTCTAGAGCTAATAGAGGAATTTATAAAAGATTCAGAATACAAGGTAAACAAAAATCAGATATCTGTACACCAGCAATGAGAAGTCTGAACGGGATCTTGGGAAAACAATTCCATTTACAATAACATCTAAGAAAGTAAAATACCGAGGAAGAAATCTAACCAGGGATGTGATGGACTTACACAATGAAAACTACTAGCTATAAAACACTGCTGAAAGAGATTAAAGAAGATTTAAATAAATGGAAAGATGTTTCATGTTCATGGATTGGAAGACTTAGGGCTCACACTTCCTGATTTTAAAATACACTATACAGCTACAGTAATCAAAACAGCCAGATATGGGTATAACAATAGATACATAGACCAATGAAATTGAAGTGATAGTCCAGAAATAAACCCATACATCTGTGGTCAACTGATTTTTAACAAAGATGCTAAGCCCATTTGATGGGGAAAGAAAAGTTTCTTTAATGAATGGTGCTGGGAACATTTAATTTCCACATGCAGAAAAATTAGACAGGATCTATGCATCACACTATACACAAAAACAAATTTAAAATGGACTAAAGATCTAAATTGCAAACTAAAACCATAAAATTCTTAGGAGAAATGCAAGGACAATGCTGTCAGGCCTGGTTTTCAACAGTGGGTTCTCTAAAAAGCAGGAAGAGCAAAAACAAAATAAATGCCACCTCACAAAAATGTAAACACTTTTATTCATCAAAAGATTTTACCACAAAAGTGGACAAGCTATAGACTGGAGAATATCTTCAGAAACCATATATGGAACATGAATCTAATAACCAAAATATATGTAAGATTTTGACAATTTAACAACAAATTGACAACCCAGTCATAAAGTGGACAAAGGACTTGAATAAACATTTCACCCCCGAGGACATTCAGATGACCACCAAACACATGAAAAGATACTAAGTATCATTGGCCATCAGAGAGATGTAAATCAAAACCACAATGAGACATCATTCCATTACCACTACGATGGCTTAAAAAAAAAAGCATATGCTGGCAAAGATGTCAGGGAATTGGAACCCTTATGCCATTGCTGGTAGAATACAAAATGATACAGCCATTATGGAAAACACTGGTGGTTCCTCAAAAAACTAAGAACTACTATATAACCCAGTAATTCTTCTAGTAGATAATACCCAAAAAACTTAAAAGCAGAGATTCAAACAATGACTTGTACACTAATGTTCATTGCAGCCCTAGTCACAGTAGCCAAAAGGTGGAAACAACCTAAAAGCCCATCAACAGATGAAGGGATAAATAAAAAATATGGTACAAATATACAATGGAATACTACCTAGACTGTAAGAGAAGTGGAGTCTTAATACATGCTATAGTATGGATGGAGCTTGAAGACATTGTGCCAATCACAAAAGGACAAATAATGTATAACCTCACTTATTTAAAAAGACAAAAAGAGGCAAATGTATAGAGACCAAAGTTTATTAGTGGTTACCAGGGGTGAGAGGGAAAGGAGAAGAAGGGGTTAATAGTGATGGAAAAATTGCGTTGGTTAAGGGTAGGGTTGTACAGCCAATTACTGTAATTGCTGTCAATAAGATACACCTGTAAAAAGTTGAATTGGCAAGTGTGATAGACATATTTACAACACCAAAAAGAGTAGCTGCTGAGGCTGCTTATGTACAAGCAAACACTGCATGGAATTTGGTTCCTTGCTTATGGTCATTGTTTCATGGGGCATCCCAGTTAATAGGCTGTTTTGGTTACCTAGTGCTGCTCTAACAGAAATATACTACAAATGAGTGACTTTCACAAACAGGAGTTTATTCTCTTATAGTTTTGGAGGCTAGACGTCCGAGTTCAAAGTGACAGCTCTAGGGGCTGGGTGAAAGCCCCTTGACGTTGGGCTTCAGCTCTGCCTCTTGCTCCCAGCCCACTGAAGCTGGAGGATTTCTTTGCTCAGGCAGCTGCTGGCTGCTGAGGCTGACAAACCCAAGACTGACAAGGCACAGTCCCGATATTACTAAACCACACAGCAGGCCATTGATGCAAGTCCGTTAAGAGTCCCAAGATTGCCAGACAACGTGGCAGGCTGCTGAATAATGACTTGGCTACATGCAGGAGTCAAGCGTGCCAAAAGCAGCAACCCTTCCTCAATGCTGCTGCTTATGTTCTGGAAGTAGACCACATCCCCAAGGCAGCTGATCAGCTGCTCCAGTAGATTCCACCATGGAGATTATTACCAATCTCACCATGGGAAATTACTACATCCAGCTGCCCAGCCAAATTAACACATAACTTTAACTACTGTATAGGTCTAATAATGTGTTTAGTGCTTCTGTTCTACCTCGTAGTTCCTTAAGTAGTGCCTGGGGTCTTAAAATCTTGCCAGCAGCCATCCAAGGTACAACAGTTATCTCTGTTCACCTGTAGCAACAGAGGAAGGGGAGTCAGGAATAGGAAGAGAATATGGAGTATGTATGTGGCTAATTGCCTCCATGAACAACTGCCTCTTGCCATGAGACCAGAAGAACTAGGTGTCTGGCTACCATTACTGAACATTTTGATCAAAGATTCCATAGACGCCTACTCAAAAAGGGGAAAATGCAGAACAGATTTTTAAATTCTCATGTACTCTGCACTGGAGGTGTGGAGGGTGGGTGAACCCCTTAATGACTTCCCTGAGGTAATCTTTAAACCTTAAACCAAAAATATCCCCTGAGGTCATCTTAAAACTGAACAGTAGTTTAGCTTAATAAACCTTGAGCATATGTTCTTTTAAGAACTATCTATATGGGATTAAATTGAGGACAGCAACTCAAAAGATTAGACAGGGGCCTTAGAGGGCAGTGAGTTTATAGGGAGGAACAACTCAAAAGGAGGGTGAGAATGGTTGTACAACCTGAAGACTAATAAATGTCACTAAATTGTACATGTAGAAACTGCTGAATTGATGTATGTTTTGCTGTGTATATTCTCAACAACAAAATAATAAAGGGAAAAAAAGTGGCAATTGTAAATTCGCTCAGTACATGAATGTAACTTGCCTCAGCAAGAGTCTTCATTTAAAGGAATTAGGTGTTATTTTACAATTTAATCAGTTTCTTCTTACCCTTGTTTATTTTCTCTAATTAATTAAACATTTGAATGCTAATTAATTGTCAGGCACCACCCGCCAGCCATTCCTGGGAAAGAAGGTTGAGCAATCTACTTCCATAGTGATACTGCCTCGGCAACCCAAGGAGGGGTTGCTATGAGTCAGATCTGACTCAACGGCATATAACAACAACACTAGACACAATATATAAAGGTAAACCACACATTATCTCTGTCCTTGAGATACTCATTTCAGACATCATTTATTGAGCATCCACTCTGTGCCAGGCACTGGACCAGGCCTTAGGGATACAAAGATGAGTAAGCCTTGCACATATAACAAGAGACAAATAAACACAAAAAAAGTATAAGTAATTCAGGGGAGGGAGGAGAAACCTATAGTACAGAAGTATTTAGTACAGAGGCAACAAAGGAAGAAGGGTCACAGGAAAGGAAGCACAGAGAAGAGAACACTTAATCTGTAGTTTGAAAGAGGAATTGCCAGATTGAAGTACGGGGTGGGGGCAGCCTGCTTCTTGGGAAAACAGCAAATGGGATATGACTAGAAAATGGCTAGAGTCCTGCCAGAATTGAAACTGGAGAGGCAGGTAGGCACAAAGGCGTATGGGTCCTTGCCATACTGTGTTGTTTACCTTTTCCTGAAAGCAATGGGAAGCAGTATCATTTTTGTGTTTTAGAAAGAACACTCTGGCAGCATCATAGAAAATGAATTAATTGGGGCAGGACTACTTGGATACTCACAGTAATATTTCAAGCAGATTATTATTAGGTCAATGGCGTCTGGAGAGATGGTGGTAAAGAGATTTGAGATCGATGGAGGGGCAGAATCTGCAGCACTCAGTTGCCGTTTGTGTAAATTGAAGGAAAGGAGCAGCAGTGTCCAGAATTATTTCCTGGGTGTCTGGCTTGGAGACAGATGTAACTAATTCAAGGTGATACCTGCTATAACATACATGTGGAAGTACTATGGAGGGGTGGTTATAGTTCAGCCCACAGCTGGTGGAAGATGAGATGTAAATCCAGAAATCATTCTGGAATCATTGTCCTAGACAGAAAAGATGGAGAGAAAACAGGAGCAAGAGGTGTTCCTCTTTGTCATCTGGTACATTACATTATGGATCGTCCCTGGGGGTTACGTTTAGATTTCCCGCCTAAAGTCCTGGGAAGCTGGCTTGCTTCCGACCCTGCGGAGCGCTGGGAGGGGAGGAGCCGCTGGGCCACCAGAGGGCCCCACGGGCGCCAGGGCGACCCCGGAACCGCGTCATGGCCGCCGCGCGGGTATTGCTACTCCTGTCTGAACACCCGGAATCGGCGAGCTTCGCACGGAGCGTGTGTGGTCTCCTGGGCGCTGGGCCAGGGCTCGGGCCATGGCCCATACACTGCAGCTTAAAGCGAGGACAGCTCGTCCTCTCGGACAAGCCATTCCTAGGCGCCTCTGCCAGGCTTCCGCTCCAGGTCTAGAGAGGAGGGGACCAGAAATGGGGAATGAAGGACAGGAGGCGCGGACTGGAGATCGGGTGGTCCTGACAGCGCGAGCCCTAGGGGTCTGGCAAGTCCGCCCCACTCAGCCCCTCCCCCACCACGCGGTGTCGCCCAATTTTCGTAGGCCATACCCCCCCACCCGACTCTCGCACCGCTCCTGAAGCCTTGACCTGCTTATTCCCTCCTGCCAGCGACCCCCTTTCTGCCCTTTTGCGGCCCTGGACCAGCAGCCCGGGGCCTCGATGCCGGAGCTGCCCACAAACCGAGGTGTGGATCTGGGTGTGGCCGTAATTCTGCAGTCCAGAGACGAAACTGTCTTGTTGACACGAAGGACCAGCACCCTTAGCCTTTCCCCCAATCTCTGGGTACCCCCAGGTGAGCACTCCTGGCGCAGGGCCCAAAGTCTAGGGAAGAAAGTTGCCCTTTTTCTCTCCCAAGTTATTCCCAGTCCCAGGATATAAAAGTGGGCCCAGATTGTAGCATGTCTGCCATCACAAGAGGCTGCAGCTGCATCTGTGTCCACTGGAGGGAGGGCAGGGTAAACACTGAGTGGGGGCTGCTGGCCAAACCCACCACCACTCATGTCTTGTCCCCATGTTTTTGCAGGTGGGCATGCAGAACCTGAAGAAGAGGTAACCAATCAGCTGATCCAACCTGCACGCTTACCCTACCTTGAGACCTACCTCTGGGTCCACCTTGGTGTGGGCTGTGGGAGGGGCAAACAAAAGGACAAGTCAAACCCCAGCCACTCTGACCTGCCCTCTCTTGATTCCCAGCTGCTGGACGCAGGACTTCGAGAGCTTTGGGAGGAGAGTGGACTACAGCTGCCCCAGGGCCAGTTCTCCTGGGTCCCTCTGGGGCTATGGGAGGTAACACAGGGACTGGAGACCCTTCCTACTTAACCAACTTCTGTTTAACCTTCAACAACTTCTACCATTAAAATCTACAGAACAGTCTGTAGATTTTATCTGCCTTGGCCACAGAGGGGGCAGAGTGTGAAATGGAGTGCCCAAAACCCACAGCCCACCCAGATCCCTCACGCACCATATCTACTCTCTAGTTCCTTAGTTTGGGGCCAGTTTTTTGGGTTTTTTTTCCACCTTAAAGCTGTATTTTAGTCTCAGAAAGGGAAAGGAAGTTCTCAGTTTCTCGTTTCCTTCTTAGTCTGCCTATCCTCCGAGACTGAGCTGGGGTTTCCCCAAATACCATCACATCGTTCTCTATCTACTTGTGATCTCCCAGGAGTCGCAGCAGCAGCTGCAGGTAAGGCTGGCAGTGGAAGGAAATGGGGCTCAGGGGAGCCCAGGCAATCTGGCTTCGTCTGTGATTAAGGTAGGCGAGGAGATTTAAGGGAAAGTGAGAGAAAACACACAAAACAGCCTCTCCCCAGCCTTTCCCCATGTCCCTCTCCATTCCACCTGGGGGTCTTCTGTGGTCAAGAACAGGCCTCGCAGAGAGATGCCTGACAACAGTGTCTGGCCTCAGGCACGGATCCAACCAAACCCAAGTGAGGTGAGTGCCTTTATGTGGCTGAGACCAGATGTAGCAGCTGCAGTGGCTGCCACAGAAGATGGGACAGGGACAGCCAGAACTCTCCTCCAGGACCTACCACTCTCTGTCCCGTAAGTAAGAGCTTCTTCCCAATCCCCCAGTATACCCACACACTAATACAACTGTGTGTTGTAGGGGAGATATAGGGGCTGAGTTGGTCAGCTGATAATGGAGCGAGCATGTGATATCAAAGCCAATGACCATCCAACTCAAGGGCTCCTGTGCTCTGATTGGCTAGCAGCAAAGACTGAAGTGTGAGGAGTCCCAGCTTTCCCACAGGGGCAAGTCACTTATCCTTGAACCAATTTCCTTTCTGTACAATGAGAGTAACTCCCACTCACCCCCTCCTGCGGTGCTTGGGAGGATAGGATGACCTAATGGAGATGCAAGTGCTTTGTAAACAGCAAGGCACAGCCCAGACAGTTGTCATTACACAGTGCAGTGGAACTGCAAGAGGATGGAGCAGCCCGATCTCTGGACCTGCCCACGTCCACACTCCTGCGAACAACCCCAACCACAGCAGAGAGCAAAGAGAGGGTCAGCACGGGGACCAAGTTTGCCCTTAGGCTCTGGCTGCAACACCTGGGCAGGTAAGAGTGAGGAAGTCCTTGGGGGCTCCACATCACTGGACTACATGGTCTAGATGTGTTTTTATGGGCATGGGGGAGAGGAAGGGAGGAAGAACGAACAACTGCTCTTGGAAATCCTCAGTGTGACACCCCCACCATGTGACAGAGGAGCTCATGTGGACCCAGGGCCAGCAAAGGAAAAAATGAACATAGACCGCCTTTCCTCAAGCCAGGGGTCTGGAAAGTAAAATCCATAAGCCCCTCCCCAATCCACTTCTGCAACACTCACAGAACATTCACAACCTTTATTAATGGGTGAGAACTTTGCTACAATTCTGGAAATAAAAAGTAAAATTACAATGTAAGTCATAGGCCCTACAGGAGCCTGAAAAAGGAGATTGGGAAGGAAGGAATGGGGGTTCTTCTACCTCCCAGGAAAGGTGCAGAATGAACCAACTATAGGCCTCTGGAAGCTTAGGCCCAGGGCTGGTCAGCATAAGAAAACATTGTGAATTAAATACATAAATAGGGAAAGACCCAGGCAATACGCCCGGCCTTGCTCCCAAACCCCTGGGGATCAGGGCTAAGGCCTTATCTTTTCCTCAGTTATACTGGGAAGTGGGAGGCAGGGGAAAGTCATCTTTGGAGTATTTTGGTTCTTGTTTATATACAAAAAAACAAAAAAAATGCAACCTAAAATAAAGTTCTCTGTCCATGTGTCTGTCTCAGTTTCTCTACTTGTCTGTTTGGCCAAAGGGAACGGAATGGACATGAAGAGACAATGAATGTAGGGAAGGAATAGAGCCATGGGTTTAGGGGATGGGAGGACAGGGCATCTGGGGGACAAGAGAGAGGCCCCCTCTCCTCACAAGGCTCAAGACACAGTTAAGGCTGATTCAGCCTTTCCCCCAACTCAAATCCCATCCCATTTGCCTGCCACTGCCTAGGTTAACATACCCAAAGGAATGTGCAGCCATCCAAAGAACATTTCCAAAAATAGACCCCATATGTCCTAAAAAGAGGTTAAATATTAACCCTTTGGGTGTTAGCCTTGTCAGGCAGAAATGAGGCCAAAAGTCAGGTGTCCCTGAAGGTATGTCTGACCTTTGGCCAAAGTCCCCCAAGGGGTCAGAGTGGCCAGCGGTCTGGATTCCACTTCATACTTGCTCAATGTTGGGGGGCAGTAAAGGGTCCACAGTCCAAGGGATTCAGTCCAGGGAAATGATGTCTGACCGACAGCCAGTCAAGGAAGGACCTGAGGGCAAGGGTCCGCCATGTCCTTCCCTCAATGTCCCCCCAGGGGCCACAATACTGCTGACACGTCCTGGAGGGGGTGCTGGAGGGGAGCTGCGGTGGGAGGTCCCCAGTGGCGCCAGTGGGCCCAAGAAGTGGGAAGGGGTCCCCCGGTACTGGAAGAAGTGGCCAAGGGCATCCTGTTCGTCTAGCGAGGTGATGACGGAGGGGCCATAGTGCTAGGAAGAATCGAGGGCATAGTTTAAAATTTCATTCTAACTTCATCCACCTCCCAATCACTCATCTCAAAAATATCGTATGTGATAAATCAACCCCTGTAGATCACAAATATTCTCTCAGAAGAGAGCCTCTCTCTGGCTCTTTCTCCTACTTCCCCACACCCCATCCCTTGTTTTCCCTGCCCCGAGACAGCCCCTGCCCTCCCCGCTCCAGTTTGCTAGGTTCTTGGCTTTGTGAGCAGTTGAAATGTGTGGAATGTCCACATGGGGCAGGCATGGTGCTCAAGTGCACATAAGTGTGTGTGGGGGTAAGCAGGCCAGGACATAAAAGGAACAGGATCTAGGAAATCATGGATAGGAATCTGAGGAAGTAGGGCCTTAGAGGGAAATGAGCTGCCTGCCTTTTCCTCTTCCCTCACAGAAAAGCTGACTCGGGTCCTTGGGGGTAAAACAACAGAGAAGGGGGCCCATCAGTGCCTAGAAAGGAAGCTTCAAGATCTGAGATCTTCATAGAAGAAACCACTTACCTGACTCTCAGTTTGAAGGAAAGAAAATAAGTCTAAACCTGGCAGGAAAAGAAAAATCACAATCAGTCTCCTATGAGACCCCTCCTCTGCCACATGTGGACCGGAGGCTTTGAAAAGCAATGGTTCTGACTGGTCCTGGGGAGGGTGTGGCAGTGCAGGGGCCCACTTGTGACTAATGCCATACCTTGGATATCAGCCCCCAGTGGGAAGGCAGGTGGGTACTCATGTAGCGGGAGACTGGACAGGAAATCCCCGCCCAGCGTGCCCATAGCAGGGCTCCGTAGCACGGAGGATGGCTGGTGACTAGAGGTCAAGACTCTGTGAAGGAAGAGCAGTTGGGATAGGTGGCAAACCACGGATGCCCTTACCCATCTCAGCCTCCCAAGGCCTCTCTCCCTGTCCCTTCCACCCTTTCCCTTGCTCCAAGGGTTGCCCAGTGATCAGAAAGCATCCATGACTTCTTCGCCTGTCCCTTCTGCTAAAGTTGCAGCCCATTTCCTTGTACCCTTTGCTTCCAGGCAGGGCTGGGATGGCAGCTGAGGTGACAGGACAGTGCTTCTTGGTTGGAGGAAGGTCCTCCTCATCAGAAGAGCTTTCTATTGTCAAGTCAATAACTTCAACCTTTTTCTTATTCTCTGATGGATTTCCCTCTTGGACTGGACTGTACTGGAGGCCTGCGGGTGGTAAAAAGACTGTCTCAGAGAACAGGCCATCTAGGATTTAGCTCAGCTGGAGGACAGGGTGTCACTCACCATCCAGCCCATACCCTGGTGGGGGGCAAACCTCAGATGCCTCCTTCTTAGGTTTCATTGGGCACCAGGATCCATCTTCCATGAACTGGATCTCATCACAGTCCGAGCAGGAATTAAGAATCTCCATGAATAAACTGGGGGAGAGGAGGGATAGGAATTGATCTGCCTAGGAAATGGCTAGAACAGTAGCCAGAGAGTTCTGCCACTCACCTTCCTGTACCTCAATTTTCTCATCTATATAATAAGGATATTATATACCCTACTGACCTCTCCTGAGTTGCTGGAATCAAATTAAGGTACATAAAAGAGCTTTGCAAACTCTAAGTGCCAAGTTTGAAAATAAGTTCATTTGAAGCACCTATTATGTGTGGTGCTAGGAACAAGACAGAAAGGGCAGAGACAAAGAATTCCGTAAGCCATCTCAAAAGGCACTGTCAACAAGAAACAATGTGGACTCTGGAAGGGGATTAGGATTAGCTAGATCAGCACACCCAGGCCCTCAAAAGCACCTTATTGCTATGCTCAGTGGGAGACCAAGTAGTTAATATAGGCAATATAGTATATATCACAGTTTAATACTTCGGCTCTGCCACTTATTTACAATACAGGCAGTCCCCAGGCTACAAAAGAGTACACAATTCCTAATTGTGTCTTTAAGAATTTGTAAGTAAGCTGGAACAAGTACATTTGGTTCTTATTAAGCCTTACTTTAGTGCAAGAAAAAAGGAGCTCTGGTAGCTTACTGGTGAAAGCATCTGGCTGCTAACCAGAAGGTTGATGGTTCCAAATACACCAGCTGCTCCACAAAAGGAAGATAGAGCAATCTACTTCTGTAAAGATTTACCACCATGGAAACCTAATGGGGATCACTATGAGTCAGAATCAACTCGATGGCAGTAGGTTTGGTTTTTGGCTTTTTAGTTCAAGAAAAAGGAGCTCTGGTGGTGTACTGGTGGTTAAAGCATTTGGCTGCTAACCAGAAGGTTGATGGCTCAAACACACCAGCTGCTCCATGGAAGAAAGATTAGGCAGTCTGCTTCCATAAAGCTATACCATCTTGGAAACCCAATGGGGTCGCTATGACTCACAATCGACTCAATGGCAGTATGTTTTGTTTTTTTTTAAGCGTAAGGAAAGGAACTCTGGTGGTGCAGTGGTTAAGGCATTTGGCTGCTAACCAAAAGGTCAGTGATTTGTACCCACCAGCCACAGAAGAAACAGAAGGCAGTTTGCTTACATAAAGATTTACAGCCTTGGAAACCCAATGGGGGTTGCTGTAAGTCAAAATCAACTCAATGGCCATGAGTTTGCTTTTTTTTTTTTTGGTTTTTAGTGTAAAAATAAGGCTCAAAGCCTTTCCAATGATTTAAAAGCTATGTGCCCGAAGTGAAGGTGACTGTGATGATGAACTTGTTCTAAGTAGAGATTGGTTCAAAAATTCCTGGTGGTGCAGTGATTAAAGCACTCAGCTGCTAACACGAAGGTTGGCAGTTCAAATGCACCAGCCGCCCCAGAGGAGAAAGCTATAGCAGTCTGCTTTTGTAAAGATTTACAGCCTCAGAAACTCTATAGAGCAATTCTAGTATGTCCTATAAGGTTGCTATGAGTCAGAACTGGCTCGATGACAGTGGGTTTGGCTTGGGTTTTTTTTGGTACAGATAGATTTAGAAGTTTCAAAATGAGAGCAAATTTACACAATATTAAAGGGTAAGTAGGAGTTATCAGAGTCGAAACCAGGAACTGCCTTATAGCTTTGAACAAAATGATCTCTTAGGCATGATTCTTCATCTATAATAACAGATCCTATCTCACAGGGTTATCATAAGGATTCAGTGAAACAAGGCATGTGAAGTACTTAGTAAGTACTTTATAGTAAGTATATGAAGTATGTATTAAGTATAAAAAGTTACAGACTGGTAAAGGAGATAGAAAGGGTGAGTTGGTAGGAACAGGAGACGGGGTTCATGTGAGAAGAGGTCCTAGTAGCTGTTCCAGGTAAAAGGAAGCAGAATGGCCCTACCCATCAATGATCAGAGATTCATAGGGAGCCTTCTTGTCACACACAGGACATGTCCACGTTGGCTTCTTCTCATTCATCTGTAGATAAAGGGCAGCATCGAAGCTCTGCAGGTGGGCGCAGGTAAGGGCACGACAGGGGACGGTCAGGCGCATTTTCCCTAGCTGAGGAAAGGTGAGTTCTCTGGTCAGAGTCTCCATATCCCAGAAAACCTTACTCTAATATCCCTAGAAACCCTCATCAGAATCCAAAGGTTTAACCCAGCCCTTTTCCCCCCTGGACTCACCGGACACATGAGTGACACCCGCAGACTCGTAGTAGCCACCTCACTGTCTGGGTCAGCAGTCAATTTCTCCTTGACTGAAACAAGAGTGCAGCCAAAGCCAGGCAGTTAGCAAGACTAGAGAGGAAGCCGAACAGCTGGTGAGGCCAGAATCAGATGGCTCTGGCTGACAGGACTTTGGGGACCAAAAGGTGAGG